AAAGAAACTTAGATATGGTTAATCATACTATCTTTTGTTTCAAAGTAGTACACTTAATAAAATGTTTTAAGATCCAAAATCCCGCATATTTTCGAGGACACCAGATACAGCTGTAATCTTTGCAGTTTCAATTTTATATCCTAGGTAGTAGGTAGGCATTTGCGATGATGTGAAACTACCATCATCATCATCATAAGGTCGTCAGTCCTAAAACTACTTGGACATGCACCTCCACCCTTTCTTATCCTGAGCTAATCTTCGCATTTCCCTAAAACTAGAACAACCCACATCCTTAATTATTTGCGAACAGTAATCTAATGTAGGTCTACCGCTACCCCTCTTAACTCCCGTTTCTGCCTCTAATATGTCTCTGAAACTACCAGCGCAAAATAATTTCAAAACGTGAAAATTTCTCACTAACAATTATTTTCGACCGAACGTTTTCACAATTAGGGTGGTAAAAATTTTGTAATAACCATGGTACTAAACCTAGTCATAATTACCCAATCGAAAGTAACTCCGGACCAGTCTTATCACCTAAAGTAAAAGTACGAGGGTGGATTGATAAGTTTCCGGCCTGACCAAGAAAAACAAGGTTTTTAAAAATTTTTTTTTTTTATTTCTCAACATAATCTCCTCCAAGGCTGATACATTTCTCATAGCGGTGTTCCAGTCTATTAATGCCATCTCTATAGACTGATTCGTCAAGCTCCTCAAAATAACCATTTACAGCTTCGATTACTTCTTCATTGTCCGCAAATCTCTTACCGCCAAGCCATTTTTTGAGATTAGGGAACAGAAAATAGTCACTCGGGGCTAGGTCTGGAGAGTAAGGAGGGTGCGGCATCAATTCAAACTTTAGATCGTTGATTTTAGCCGTCGCAACGATTGACGTGTGCGCTGGTGCGTTATCGTGATGAAACAAGATTTTTTTCTTCGCCAGATGAGGTCGTTTAATTTTCACCTCGTGGCTCAAACGTTGCAATAAGTCTGCGTAGTATTGACCAGTGATAGTATTACCCTTTGCAAGGTAATCAATGTATATAATACCTCTTGCATCCCAAAAAACAGTAGCCATAACCTTGTTCGCCGAAAAAATTGTTTTTGCCTTCTTTGGAGTTGGTTCCCCTGGTCCAATCCACTGTTTAGACTGTTCTTTGGTTTCAGGAGTGTAGTGGTGGACCCACGTTTCGTCAACGGTTACGAATCGACGCAAAAATTCGCTTGGATTACGCTTATACAATGACAAATTTGCGGTAGAAATGTTTTTTCGAATCAATTTTTGGTCGACTGTTAGCAAACGCGGCACCCATCTTGCACAGAGCTTTTCCATATGCAAATGTTGGTGCAAAATATGTTGCACACGTTCATATGACATCTTACAGGTCTCAGCTATCTCACGCACTTTCAATCTGCGGTCTCCCAGCACTATTTGATGAATTTTTTCGATCATATCTGGAGTTGTGACCTCAACGGGGCGTCCTGAGCGAGGCCCATCAGAGGTGCTCACACGACCCTTTTTAAACTCGGAAACCCACTGCTTAACGGTTGAATATGACGGGGAGGATGTCCCCAGTGTTGAGTCCATCTCTTTTTTAATTTCCTTCGGCGTTAACCCCTTCAAATAAAAGTATTTGATGACAGCACGATTTTCCTGCTTTTCCATTTTTACGAAAACCACAGAGGCGTCTTGTTCAGCGTGCTGTCAAACCTACACTAGCAAGGAGATCGGGCTGAAACTATAGCTACAAGCTATCCAAGGATGGTACTATAGAATGTCACCTCAAGGTAGGCCTAGTGGCGTCATCTCTTGGTTAGGCCGGAAACTTATCAATCCACCCTCGTATAGTAAACCTTCGACCCTGATCGACCGTCGGATCTGTCGAAAATCTGCTTCAAGTCGGCGGACGGTTAAAAACAGATTGTCGACTGTTTTATTATGAGTACTGGAATTAAAACTGAAAATCTGAAAATCACTTGGAGCAAAACAAACGGACAAAATATATTTAAAGTAAGGAGAAAGGAATTTTCATTAGACGACAAAGTTTTTGCCGTAGGTCTTTTAAGTCCGACTGTAATACCATTTGTAATTCAAATTTTCGTCGTCTTCGAACTAAAGTCTCCGTTTAATTGCAACGTTTCGATACTTTGAAATTGTGCGATGCCGGAAACGGTGACACCCACCAACTTAAAGTAAAGAGTAAAAAGAGGCGAATGCGAGAAGTTTAATGTGTACAAGAACGAAAACTTTCCTACAAACTGCAACTTTAAAGAATGCCTGAGAGTTGCAACTGCAAAACGAAAAACGATGAACTTCGTAAAGAATTTCGATCATTTATCTACGGTGAAAATACAACTTCAGATTAATTATTTAACAAGGAGGATTCGTTTATTAGTTCTTTCTTTTTTAATCATATGTTAACTTTTTAACTTTGTTAAACATCGAAGACGCGATCAACATCGTTAAATACAGTACAACTTTAGGGATGGATGTACAGAGGCAGAAGATTAGTATGATTAGATTTGCAGATGATATAGCAGTTTTAGCATTGTATGAAAATTAATAAAAGTAAAACAAAAATATTGGTAAGCAAGGAAAGAAAAAGTAGGGAAAGAACGAATGTAAAGATAGGAGCGAAACAATTAGAAGAAGTGACTGATTTTAGATATCTAGGAAGTCAGATAAGACAGGACGAAAGGAGTAGTAGGGATATAAAGCAGAGGATAGCTCAGGGTCGAGTCGCCTTCAATAAAAGGAAGTCATTTCTATGCTCGCGAACTATTAATTCAGAAATTCGAAAAAGGTTGTTAAAGGTGTATGTTTGGAGCACGGCGCTGTACGGGTGCGAAACGTGGACAGTGGGCGCGGCGGAAAAGAATAGATTAGAAGCGTTCGAAATGTGGTTTTAAAGGCGAATGATGAGGATACAGTGGATAAAGAAGGTTAGAAATGAAGAGGTAGTAGAGCGAATAGGAGAACAGAGGACTCTGTGGATGTCAATAAGAAATAGGCGATAGGTTGATAAGACACCTTCTCAGGCATGAAGGGCTAGTCAGAGACATATTAGAGGCAGAAATGGAAGTTAGTAGGGGTAGAGATAGACCTAGATTAGATTACTGTTCGCAAATAGTTAAGGATGTGGGCTGTTCTAGTTTTAGGAAAATGCGAAGGTTAGGTTAGGATAAGAAAGAGTGGAGATGTGTCAAACCAATCTTAGGACTGACGGCCTTATTATGATGTTAAATTTTTACGTGATTTTGATTCATTTTCTAATTTTACTAAGCCTCCTTGTCCCAAATCATTACAATAACGTCTATTTTTTTGATAAAATAGTACTGAGAATGAACTTGTCCCAGCTAACGTATACATATTGCGATATGTGATACTTGCAAAAAGCTCATCTTCACCGATAATATAACCTATTGCAAAGCATAAGCTCACAAATGGTTTTAGTTGGGTCAGAGGACGTAAAACCCCTAGACAAAAATTTTCAGTCTCTCTCTCCAGTGTCTCGGAGTCTTCCAGCGTCTCTGAGAGCGTCTCTAACAGTCTTTCAGTTATTGCCCAGATGTTTTTATGGATCTCTCACAGTCTCTGTATGAGAGACTCGAACGATAAAATTGTTAATTCAGAGATTCGAGTCTCTCGTTCAGAAACTGGATACGAAATGAGGATCTCTCTATGAGCGACTCGAGTCTCTCGTTCAGAGACGCTAAACAGTTTTTTTGACAGTCTCTCTCAGCGACACCAGAGAGACTCGACGAGAGACGGAGACTCGAGTCTCGCTTTCAAAGACTGAGCATTTTTATCTCAGGACGCTATTCATCTTGAAACAACTTTAATAAATTCTTTTCTTCGAACAAAAGATTTTTAATATTTAAAATCTTCTTTATTATATGTTAACATGAAATATAAAAAACAATCTTTACCACAGTTTGAATAAAAGAATTTACAAGGATGTCCTCGATAGTTTGTACTTTTTGTACTTCCTACTATTTTTTTCGCTAAAAGATCACTTTATGCGCTCTAAGAAGGGTCAACTTATGCATTGGAGGAAGGGAAGACTGTATCAACAAGACGAAGTCAAAGACTAGAAGTATTTGAGCAATATTAAGATCAAAACTAACCCCAAGACTGGGACTGCTCGTCACTAATTATAAGCAAAGATTTCGTTTTTTGAAAAGTCATATTGGCTAAGGTTATTTTCGTCTTCTTTCTTTTTTTTTGTGTTTTTTAACTAGAACAATTGCCTGACGGTTACTTAGTATTTCATTATTAATATCAATTAGAGTCAGATTTGTTGACAGTTCCGATTCCGTTCCAATTACCGGGATATTCTGGTGATTGCATTATCCCTTTTCAGGAACGCGAGGCGTACCATCCTACCTACCTGCTTATCCGACGAGAAATATTCAACGTAATTAAAATCTTAATTGGATTTTAAAGGAAAAGAGACGCCAAGTATTATAGCAACAGTGATCTGCTGCAAAGCATCGACGTAAAGTTATTTTACGACAGCGCTAAGCTCCTCTTTCACATCGTATTAATTAGATCAGACTGACCCTCTTGCTAAAGATCCTTTATCCCTTTTTTAGTTACTAAGTAAGCAGATTTTTTCTAGAAAAAATCGTTCAACTGTATAGCACAAAGAAATAAATAACAGTTGAATGACGTATAATTCTCATAGACATAACAAAAAAACAGGGATGGAACACCAAATGTGCCTAGATTTTATTGGCTACGCCTCTAAGTCTAGCCAGTAGAATATAGACACCTGCTATCTCACCCCCTGACCCTTGATAGTACAATAGCAACGATTTTTCCTTTTATAACTACTGTTTTTATTATTTGTGTCCTTTACCTGACAAACATATAAATCGCAATAGCAAATGAATGACTTTTTGTTATGAACGAAAAAACAAAATAAGATTTCAATAGTTGCGGTTGTTTTTCTTTCTTGTGGTTTTCTATCTCCTAGATAATGTGTCTTTTGTTCCAGTACAACATTAAAAAAAAAGAAGAAGTTCAAGAAACTGCTCAAGAGGAACCAAATCCTTTAATGCGTAAAAAAAAGACTCCCGAAGAACTTGCGAGAGAGGCTGAACTAGAAGACGAAGACGACTTCACAAGTGAGTGTCTAGGGCGAATCGATAAACTCTCGAAACGTTGCACATTGCTGTAAACATTGATAAAATGTAAACGAAAACCGAATTACGTACTCTTGTATTCCGTTGTTTATCAACTTCCTAACTGCTTGGTAACCGCCAAAAGCTTAATCGAGTCAATTTTCGAGTCGATCAATCATTTCTTTAGACTCTCGTACAACTAAATACTATTTTTGTATTCACTATCTTTAGTGCATTATAAAGTATAAGTTTTAGGTATCACAGTTCACTTAAAAGTTTGTCCAAGTTTTAAAATAAAATAAAATCAAAACAGAAAAAGTGATTATACGTTTCAATTGTTATATAAATATAAAAAAAAGACAGAAAACATTTGACTAATGACGTTAGGGGTAAAGAAAAAACTGAATCGGTCACTGTGTCTTCATTTAAATTTTTATGGTAACCACTTTATGTAAGTACCTAATTTCATTTGTTTTCTCTTTCCAACTTGACCTTTTTTTCATCAGAATCCGCGTGCTCTGTTCTTATATTTCTATGAAACAAACTTTTCAGTGAACATTCTCATATTAAGTTAAAAACAATCGATTACTACTGTAACTACAACAACTAGTAAATCAGTTTCTCATTTGTCTTTCGTAAATTTACTTTTTACGAATTTATTATTTTAATGCACAATTATCTAACCACTTGAAGTTTGATGCGGTGTTACAATTGTTACATTATAAGGCTGATAATAATAAAATAATACCTTAATAGGCGCTTTCCCCTCACTACATGGCCTACACTGAAGTACAAACCCTCGTTCTTTTTTATGTTATTTAAAATGGCATAATGCCAAAGACCAAATTGTTTCTATATAAGTACTACTTATACATAAATACGAAAGTGAACAATTCATTGGGCGGATTATTTATTAATCACATAGGTACCTAGACATAAAATGATGATGCAGTTTTCCGAAAGTAATTCAAATTTTGTTACTTGTGCAAAAATTTTAAACCCAGTAATTGTTCATTTATTAATAACTGCGCTTACGAGTGCCTTTTTGGCAACAAATATACATGACAATATCTTGGTGAATTGCTAATGTTGAAATTAATTTAGAGCTAGACTGTAGGGTGACATGTTTTTCAGCCTGTCCTGATTGAATAAATCTTTACAATTATTAAAAATATGACAATTAAAATTATTTCTATCGATTACGTACCACGTCCGTTTCGCCGAGCTGTGACTATCAATTACAACAAATGAATGTACATTTTCCAAGCCTTATGTACTTATTTCACTAACCGATTATTAGTAAACTTTTTAATTTACTATATTTTTATTAATTTCTAAGCTTTCCAAAGGATTCAATTTTTGTAACAAATGAAACTCAAATATTGAACCTTCTGTAACGCTTTTAGAAATTACTTATCCTCTATAATGTAATTCTATTTGGCTTGGAAAATAAACTTTTATTTATTGTAATTCATCCTCGTGATGAAACAACGGCGTGGCGAAACAGTTGTAGTGGGTAACAAAAGCAGTTTTCAGTCTTTTGTTTATTACTTTAAGATCTTAAAGAAATTTTTAATTAATAATTAGTAGGTTCGGTAAAAACAAACGAATATTGGTACAAAACAATTGGTCGTAAAAATGCATGTTGCAGTTTTAAAATGACAATCTGATTATTATGCGATTAGACAAATGTTATTGAAAAAAGAATCATAATTGTTATAGAAACGGTGGTCCACATTGACACAACGAAAATTAATTACAATTATTAAATCCGCTATACAATACGATAACCCAAATTCGAATTTTTGTGTCCTATTAAGTGTGTTGTAGTTTGTCCCTACCTTCCAACAATTTCACTTGGTATTGGTGTATTTTAATAATTAATGAAATGTGAAAAAATATCATAAAATTTACTGTTCTCTTTCTTAATCGTGCTTTTTTACTAAACGTATTTTATAACAAAATGTATGTATTAACAAGTTAAAAAAAAATGTGTAGAATTTACTGTAACTCTTTACTGTTTGTGTGTTTGGTGGTATGTTGGTGGTTTTTATAACGCTTTGCACTACTTTTTTCCCTTCTATGCAGATGAAGTATTTTTATTAAACGTTTTTACTATTACATAAGTAGGCAGAATGCAGTCTGTCCAAAGCTTACTGTTTTCATACGTATTTATTTTTACCAGTGTCTCTTTTGATCCGTAATATAAAAGCCATCAGCTTTGCCCAAGGGGAAGAAGATGTTCAACCACAGTAACGAAAAATTCTATCGAAAAAACAACAACAATGTCAATTAGACCGAACTGGTATCCTTTAATAATAGCCCATGTTGTAATTTAGACAGATACCACTGGTCAATAAATCTTCAATTAACCTTTGTTTCCATCTAATAACTAACTCATACTAATTTGACTAGAGCATTCTTTGGGATATATTTTGATACCGTCCTCCAACCTTTGGCGAAATCTTTTTTTTTGAGATATTTTTTACAAAACTCTTCGTTCAGTAGAAAATCCAGATTTTACTTTAATAATAGCCCATGTTGTAATTTAGACAGATACCACTGGTCAATAAATCTTCAATTAACCTTTGTTTCCATCTAATAACTAACTCATACTAATTTGACTAGAGCATTCTTTGGGATATATTTTGATACCGTCCTCCAACCTTTGGCGGAATCTTTTTTTTTGAGATATTTTTTACAAAACTCTTCGTTCAGTAGAAAATCCAGATTTTACTTTACAATTACTGTACTATGGCATATTATATATTAGGAACAAGGTATTTTTCTTATAAAAACTTTATATAAGATATTTTGCATTTATTCAAACAAAAAATGAATAAGTTTCTAATCATAGCATTGATTTTTGGAACCCCTAAGCGTTTGAGTGGAACTCCAGGATTCCGTGGAGCACAGATTGATGAACACTGTGTTACATGATCTATGTTAATAATTAGCTAAAGTTTATTCTGATTTTAAGTAATAAAATTTTGTACAATAAAATTCACATACAAATTTTCCAATTATTCAAAAGAGCAGGTGTAATTTCATGCTTGATAACGGCTGGATGTCACTAGTTTAGGAATTCAAATAAAGAAAAAAATGAAAAATTTAGAAAACTTGGACGATAACAACAAAAATTAGTTTTACTGTTATTGTTTATCTATAAAAATTAAAAAAATCATAGATTTTTTTTTCAAATTACTCAGATAATGAACTCTGTATATGGACTTTTGGACAAAACACTTTTGTGATCAATGTTGTCCATTAAAAGGGTGTATGGCAGGTAGGTGCAGCCCGAAACAAAAATGAATATTAATTGAGATGTTAATAAAATTAAACATAATTTGCTTAATTAACTGTTTTGTATCTTAAAAACAGTTTATAAATAAAGAATATTTCTCAACAATTTATACTAGAAAATTTTTAAATTTAAAATTTCTTGGTATGCTCAATTGCAAATATACTGTAATGCCATAAATTCAGTTCAATCAGTCTTAAAATAACTCTGTATTTAAACACCTTAGTAAAACGATTTCATATCTACAAATATTAGATACAATTAAAAATAAAACATTGTATTACAGAGAATATTTCTCAGTTCATCAATTTCTCTAGCTGCCATACGTTCTTTTCATCTGCAACAGTATAAATATATGTTACACGTTCCCCTTTCGACAGAGGCTGTCTTGCACAGACTGATATCACGAAACCACAGTACAATTATTTCTGTACATTAAAAGACATGCAATTTGGAAAGCGTCCCGATATACAGCCGTATAGCGCACTAAAATTGATTTATGACCGCCTGCAAAAAACGTCAAATCGAATATCTTGTTATACTGCAGTGTAACTTATGTTATCAGTAGCTAGACACCGACATTTTAATAAATGCTAACATCTTCTTCCTCGGTATCGCTTTTTTTCTCTATACTGTTTCATGCATCTTGCTACATGTCTGTATTTGTTTTCCAGAATTGAAGAACACGATAGAAACACAAGTAAACGAACTCAAGTCTCAAATAGAAAGTAAGTGCGTTATGCAATGAATTTGGGGACATCTTGGCATTTTCTGCGCGGCGTCGGTCTTCTCAATAAGCAGGGCTCCGAACCCTGCTCCCACACTATCTCCCAACACCACTACAAGCCTCAACCAATACTAATTACGTCTAACAATACTAATTAACAAATTAATCCATTTTCTTCTGCCCATCTCAAAAATAACGTAAAAGTCAGCTTGGTTTTTCATTTGTTCTTGTTGTATACATTGTTAATAGAAAAAAACAACAAAAGACTATCGGCGAATTCTTCTCAACTTAAATTTACTCCAAAAAAAAAATAACAAAATAAACAAATTAGGTGTAAAATAATTATTAATTAAACAGCGGCGTTAAGTCTGGTTTAAGGTAGGGTAGTAGGTAATTTACATCAATGTCGCGCAGTAACTGCCCATTATAATGATAAAGAGACTGCGATACTTAAACAATTGACAAAAAAAAAACAAAAGTATTATGACAATGACGTGTCTAAAAACAAACAAAACAAAAAAAACAGTGGGAGCAGAGACAATGACAAAACAAACAAACGTGCGTTGTCATAATGGTTTTGTCGTAGTTATACCATTGTTACAAGTTATGTAGATAGAGATAGCGTTACCTATTTTTTGTAATAAAACCAAATGTGTGCGTTGACCCCTTTTTTCCGAAACGATGTGGCATGTGTTTTAGCTTGATGTAGTTTATAAGGTGTTTGTGGCTTAATATTGTGTATGAATTTTTCTGCCTCTCTTTTTCTCTCTCTTTTTTGAACACCTTTTAGATGGTAATTAGCCAAATAGTACATAAAGAAAGGTTCCGAGGCTCTTACCTAATAATGCTACATACTTGATAATTCTGTTATATTTTATATTTTTTACAATTATGTAACATCATAAAAAATGATTTAATTTAATTAATTAAATAGGTACTCATTTAGTGATTCCTCTATGTACTATTGGCTATGTACTAATAGAAAACCTGAGAGATATGATTGGTGATCATCCAAATTCCTTATATAACACTAAACTTTCGATGTCGTTGCTAAACAAAATGATAATTCTGCTTAAGGAATTAAGGAAACTAATTCGACATAAAGTAGAAAAAAGATAATCTAAAATTTATGATATATGTCGTATGTTAACACATTTTCCCAGAAAAACTAATTACATTCGTACATTTTATGAATAAAACTACGTATCTTTTCTCATGCATAATAATAGGTACTTTATGTCGACGAAGAACAAAACGCTTGATGCTTTTTTGCTCCATTGAATTGTTTTGTAACCAAAATAAAAAACAGACAAAAGTCTCTAAAGCAATACGTAAATTAAATAACCACTTCAAATTCATTTGATTATTCGAAAAGAATTAGCTTTACTAACGCAGTAACGTTAATATTCGCGTTAATTTTGTTTATTAATGTACATTTTTTTTTTCGAGAATATATTGATGTACAGTACATCTCGAAAAAAGTTACAACTTACTAGAGGCTTGTTAACATTTGTGCATTGTCGTGTTACATGTTGTGATGAATACTTCACTGTAGCTTTATTCTGTTAAGCATTTTAGCTTCTTGTATCGGTGCTGTAGATGTTTCAAATGTTTATTGTTTTACTGTTGCTGTCTCTGTCTCTTGTACATCTTCAAAGTCCCTTATAAGTAAGACCAAGGAATGGTGTTATGTTGGTATATGATGGTTGCATTTTCACTAGATTTGTCTCCAGTTGCTTAGGAAATTAATTGTTTAATTTTGTGACATAGTATATATATAGCGTTCGCGATATTTTTCTCTAGAAAACGTCAAAGTAAAATTTCATAAAATTAGAAAATTTTAAAAATTTCAGAAGAAAATTCAGTAATATGAAATACGTTGTTACCGTAAAATAAAAAAAAATTGCAGAATTTGATCGTTTATTGACGAAACAGTTGAAATTTAAGTCTTCAAATTTATAAACAATTTTGAAATGTTTCGAGCACTTTGGCATTTAAAAAAGGAAATAAAACAACTGCATGTATTTCATAATGGATTTTCTTCGTATAAAAAAATTTCGATTAATAAAAAATAACATCAACATGAAACATTACGTATTAGAAGGTATCCATTTTGCTTTTTCACATAATTTCTTTAAAATTGAAGTCAATTACTGTAAGTATATCAATCTAATTAATTAATTAAGTATAAAATGAGCAAATTGTTTACCTGCTGTGTGGTCTCACTATATAAAGTAAAATCTTTCTAGCGTAGCGCAGCAAAATTCGATGTTCTATCATAACTACAGTCCAATAAAATTCACGTTAAAAATGAACTCATTACCTAGTATGCAGAAACATGGTAATAGATGGTTATGTCGGACCAATACAACCAATTATGTTGCAGTCATTTATTTAAGATTCATATTTAACGTGAATTTTTCCGTGGCATTGCTTCGCGTAAATGTGTATCAGTGTTAGCTGCATTTTTATTAGACGACCTTGTCAATCGATTTATTACACACTGTTATCAATTATTAAATGTGCAACCTCTATTGCTATAAGTGTCGTTGTTTATTAATACTGTGTATTCTTCATGGAATTTGGGTGAAATTTTACTAAATACACCTGTCTAATATCCATTATTGATATAGGAGAAATTTCTCTCTAAATCTTTAATATTATTAATTTGTCATCAATAAAATGGTATCTTGGCAGTATATGATATAAATAAACTAATACATAGAATGGACTATATACTAAATGGTTGGCTGTCTTATGTATGTATTATATGAGTAACATAATCATCCATTTTTGGATAGGTAACTGATTGATTTGTTAAAAGAAGAAATTAAGCAAAAAAAAATTAAATATTTTATTTATTTCTCTGCCGAAATTGTTAACAGAGTTCCACGCGCTAAACGTGTTGGTCTGGCTGTTTTTTAAAATTTTGTACGTAACTTAAGGATGTTTGGGAGGTATGTCAGAATGCTACGAGACAAATAAAAATTTGGAAGAACGCATTTTCTGCGCGGCGTCGGTCTTCTCAATAAGCAGGGCTCCGAACCCTGCTCCCACACTATCTCCCAACACCACTACAAGCCTCAACCAATACTAATTACGTCTAACAATACTAATTAACAAATTAATCCATTTTCTTCTGCCCATCTCAAAAATAACGTAAAAGTCAGCTTGGTTTTTCATTTGTTCTTGTTGTATACATTGTTAATAGAAAAAAACAACAAAAGACTATCGGCGAATTCTTCTCAACTTAAATTTACTCCAAAAAAAAAATAACAAAATAAACAAATTAGGTGTAAAATAATTATTAATTAAACAGCGGCGTTAAGTCTGGTTTAAGGTAGGGTAGTAGGTAATTTACATCAATGTCGCGCAGTAACTGCCCATTATAATGATAAAGAGACTGCGATACTTAAACAATTGACAAAAAAAAAACAAAAGTATTATGACAATGACGTGTCTAAAAACAAACAAAACAAAAAAAACAGTGGGAGCAGAGACAATGACAAAACAAACAAACGTGCGTTGTCATAATGGTTTTGTCGTAGTTATACCATTGTTACAAGTTATGTAGATAGAGATAGCGTTACCTATTTTTTGTAATAAAACCAAATGTGTGCGTTGACCCCTTTTTTCCGAAACGATGTGGCATATGTTTTAGCTTGATGTAGTTTATAAGGTGTTTGTGGCTTAATATTGTGTATGAATTTTTCTGCCTCTCTTTTTCTCTCTCTTTTTTGAACACCTTTTAGATGGTAATTAGCCAAATAGTACATAAAGAAAGGTTCCGAGGCTCTTACCTAATAATGCTACATACTTGATAATTCTGTTATATTTTATATTTTTTACAATTATGTAACATCATAAAAAATGATTTAATTTAATTAATTAAATAGGTACTCATTTAGTGATTCCTCTATGTACTATTGGCTATGTACTAATAGAAAACCTGAGAGATATGATTGGTGATCATCCAAATTCCTTATATAACACTAAACTTTCGATGTCNTTTAATTATTATTTAAACATATTAAAAAGTTTTACGCTCATTATTAATAGAGATTGAAACAAATATTTTTGTGTTTCGAAGTTGAAATCAAGGCATATTCACTGCCAAAAGTCTGTTAAAATTTTTCCATATTGTTCGTTGTTTCATATTTTATTCAAAGTTTTTGGTCAAAGTCCAAATTTTCTCTCAAACCGTATACCTTTTTTTTAGTATAAATAGTATTAATCACGAATTTCTAATTTAATGTACTCTTGTCTCCGATTGTACCTCCCAAACATCCTTAACTGTCAGATGAAAATGCGTAAAAACCGGGGAAGTCCTTGCACCCAATATATCAAAAATTTTATTATTAACCAGCAACATTTAAAAATAATGTTCTTAATGTTACTATTGGTATAATCTTTTTTTTTGTAACTGGACTTGTAACGAAAATAAAACTAAACAAAAAAAATAAATAAAACAAAAAAGGAACAACTATAGTTAAGTACCATGTTATTTTGTAAATTAAAACAAATCAAAATAAAATGAATAACCTAAAACGTCCTTGAAAGAACCCTCCAGTGGTCCAAAAGAAATAACGAAAAGTTATCCGATGATTACCATCAGGCACATAAGCTGGTCATGTTCCCACTTTAACGATGACAAATTTAATAATATGGAAAAAGTGCGGGAAAACTTGTTTGCTTTCAATGCAATCGCAAAAATCAATGCAATCTAAATAAAAAATACTTGTAGGTATGTAAATGTGATGTAAAGGTGTAATATTTCGGTTACTTATTGAAGACTATTTAGATTAGGCATTTAAATTAATATTAATATTATATGTTGTTAAATACCCACCCCACCCTCATACATTACTAAAACCCGCCCTCGAAAATTTTACTCGGAATTTTTAGCTATGTAAATTTCTACACCAAAAATTGTTGTTCCTAACTTGCTGTTGTTTGTTGACCCCTCTCGTGTGCATGGTACTGCATAATATTTACAGGAATAATTGGGTAATTAATACGATCGGCAGAAAGTACAAAAAAACTACGAAAATTTTTAAAAGCCAATTAATTTTTTAACTTTCGAGAAGCAATACTACCTTTTCAAAAAAAAAAGTTGTGTGTATATTTGTCTTCCATTTCTTTTTAATTGCGTTTTTAATGAAAACAAACAAAAGAATTAATTATTAATCACATAGGTACCTAGACATAAAATGATGATGCAGTTTTCCGAAAGTAATTCAAATTTTGTTACTTGTGCAAAAATTTTAAACCCAGTAATTGTTCATTTATTAATAACTGCGCTTACGAGTGCCTTTTTGGCAACAAATATACATGACAATATCTTGGTGAATTGCTAATGTTGAAATTAATTTAGAGCTAGACTGTAGGGTGACATGTTTTTCAGCCTGTCCTGATTGAATAAATCTTTACAATTATTAAAAATATGACAATTAAAATTATTTCTATCGATTACGTACCACGTCCGTTTCGCCGAGCTGTGACTATCAATTACAACAAATGAATGTACATTTTCCAAGCCTTATGTACTTATTTCACTAACCGATTATTAGTAAACTTTTTAATTTACTATATTTTTATTAATTTCTAAGCTTTCCAAAGGATTCAATTTTTGTAACAAATGAAACTCAAATATTGAACCTTCTGTAACGCTTTTAGGGCTCAAGTGTCGATTGTAGAACTTGAATTTGCATTCTCAGCTGTTATCCTGTCCGATTAAAATTGAAAAACCCTTTTTTCAGTTGGTGCTTCCCGTTCCCTTTCCACCCCTAGACAAACACTGAAGCAATCTCGTTCCATTATTGTCTAATTCATTTAACGCGATTTGTTCGGAAAATCCATTTACAAAGTCCGCATTTAGTCCAAAGTTTTAAATAAATCTCCGACTTGTTTATTACAAAATATATTACTTGAAGTAAATTATTCCCTAACTACGCTTGGATCTACTTAAAAGTATAACCACTATGTATACGTAATTAGTACACGAATAAATATTATCACATAAAACTTAAAAAAAAAAAAAGATCGTACCTTCCAAAACAGTCAAAATTTTCGCAGGGTAATTCAAGCAATTTAATAAA